CATCAATGTGGTGTTTTAATACCTTAAACAACTCCTATTATATTTATTTTAACCAATAAAATCGGATCTATAATCATATAGACCAAAAATATCCATCTTTCAACTCAAACCTTACCATAATTCATCATAAATGAGGGAGAGAAAGGAAGAATAAGATTTAGATTACTTACCTTAGTTGTTTAGGAGCTTCAAAACATCAATAATGAAAGCTAATATGCGTGTCCTAGCAGAGCTCCAACATCCTTTTCGTTTTATCCCTCTTCTCCCTTCTGTTTTCTGGCACAGACGTGAAGTAATTTATCAAAAATTTTGCTTGCGCACCGCAGTGCACACTATCCTCCGCCACTGTGTATGGTACAGAGGAACCTGTTGCATTCAAATTTGTCTTTGTGTGCCGAGGCGGACTGACTACATGCCGCGGCATGTGGCACAAAGGATAATTCTTCACTTTTTTTTTCTCTTTCCTTACTTGAGTGGCTTGCCATCAATCCGGAATCACTTCTAGGGCTGAAATTACCACAAATACACCAAGTTGAGTCCCTCTAACCACACACCTCATTAACTCACTAATTACCTTCATTACGTTAATAAATTAGGATTAAATTGTCCTGGATGTTACATTGAAAATCATGATTCATAAGATTTTTCAAATGTTTGATTATTCCCACATTTGTAATATATATTAATGAGTTTTATCATGTATATCATGAGAGAAAGGGTGATTCAGTTCATTTTTATTTTAATTTTTTAATCCATTTTATTCTAATAACCAAACAAGACCCCAGTCTTTATAATGACAACAAAACTGCTAGCTAGCTTTTGCATTTTGAGACCGAAGAGTATCATACAGATAAGAAAATAGGGAAAATAATAATAAAATCTCTCTAAATTATATAAATGAGAATCTTGTCCCTTGAAATGCCATAATTCTACCGAAATCCTCGGAGACTTTTTTATCATTATTGAATTTATATAAATGATCAAACTGTCCTTGTAGAAAAAAAAATTTGACATGCAAATCTGTGATTTGTTGTTGTGTTGCTGTGATTATAAAAAGTAAAGTTGTGATTATTTAAATTAAACTTGTGATTATTATTTGTTATTTTTAACAGTTGTAGCAATATCAAGAATTTGACATGCAAAGTTGTGATTTGCTATTATATTGTTGTGAATATAAGAAGTAAAGTTGTGATTATTTAAATAAAACTTGTGATTATTACTTATTATTTCTAACACTTATAGCAATATCAGGAATTTGACATGTGAAGTTGTGATTTATTATTATATTGTTAAGAATATAAAAAAAATAGTTGTGATTATTTAAATAAAATTTATTATTATTTTATTTTCAACAAGTGCAATTTGATCATTTATATAAATTTATTAATAAAAGAAAAGTTTTTAAAAACTTCGGTGGAATTATGACATTTTAAAAAATTAAATTATCATTTATATAATTTAAAAAAAATTTTATTATCATTTTTTCAAGAAAATATTGCTTCCAAACCTATTTATAAGAAATAAATAATATTGTGGCAAATTTGATTATGTTGGTGTGGTAGGATTGTCATCTCCACCACTGCAGCTTCTGAGCGTCCTCCAACGAACGACAATGGCAGAGTTGGCGCCAAAACATCTCACTGGGTTTCGTATGACTCGATCAAAATGAATACAGATGCGTCAACAAGCTTTGCTTTCCTTCTAATTTAATAAACATTGCATACTTAATTCTCCATCCTATGGAGAAAAGCTAAATGGTGTCGTTTGTTCATGCTTTAACCTCATCGTACAGTCCAATTCAATAAAACAATGCACTTTTTTGAATCGGTGATGTTTCATCGTCGTCAACTAAAACATTAGGTCAAAAAAAGGCATTTTGTTGCATTAAAAAACACACGTGTTTTGCTGTGTCATGTTAGGTTGCAAAAAATAAATATTAATTATGAAACTCAATGTCTCCCTTTGTATATATGAAACGATGCGTCATACTTACATGCATGTGATTGCATTCATAAAAACAAATGTCTTGAACAATGAAGTTTGTGATGCGATCGTGACATGCGTTGAAATTTGCTCATGATCTCATTCATGTCCCAACTACATGCATGAGATGAGAGACACCACGTGGCAAAATCTCTTACTTCCACTAAAATCAACAACCATAAAACTTTTATAGAATCAAAAACTGTTTTCGCCCAATCTTCTTTTCTCTCTCTCATTGCCGATGCCGAGACATTTCTAATCTCCTTTATTTGATGCTATCACATATTAATTGCAACCCCTTTTTCTTGCCATATTTTCTAGAATTCATAATCTACTTGACATTCTTAACCAAAGAGATAAAAGAGGGTACACAAAACACACACAGCTTTATACCCTGTTTTTCCCCTCATTTTTTTCTTTAATAATCACGCTCCTAGTTTTAGTAATTTTAGTTTTTTTTTACTTGAAATAATGAAATTTTAGATATTGGAACATCGTCTGGAGCGAAGAAGGCAATACAGGAACTATTAGGACATTCGAGTGGCATGTAAATTTAATTTTGCCTCTTTGATTTTGCATCTTCTCACTTTCGCACTCCATAAAATCAGAAAGAAAATAAAAGATTGAACCAGAAACACGATCTTCTTTTTTTTGGGAAAATCATGAATTGAAAGACACAAAAAAGAAGATAATGGAAAGTGTCAGGATCGAGAGACGAAGATTGGTTGAAAACTGTGTATGATGAAATGTTAATAAACTGTATCTAATTTCGTAAAATCTTTATAGTCATTGATTCGTACTGAAAGCAAAAGTTTTTGCCACACGGTGCCACTCATCCCATGTCCAGTTGGAACACGCTTGGGATCCATATCCCATTCGCCTCAAAGATCAATTAGTGGATGTCATATTAGCATTTATAGTTGGGTATGTATAGTCCTCACGCATTCCTTTCAACTTTCTAATCTAATAAGTGCCATAAATTTGATATTGCCTATCCATTTGTGATTTGTGACCATGTCCGGTCCCCGTCTGACTGAGTCAAGCAAATCAACGTGTGGCCAAAATTTAAAGTGAGTTTTATAGAGAAATCGGGATTGACAAAATTCGATCCTCATTCCTAATTAACATGCCCTAAATCTCTATATAACAAAATGAATTATCAATTGTAGTTTTGAGTTATCAATAATTATCATCCGTGCGTGGTCTGAGTCCAATTCATATAATGTATAGAGGGATAAATTTATATAATAAGAGAATTTTTTATAAAAGATTAATTTTAAGGAGAATCATATTGTGTTGTCAATAACTTTAATTTAGTTATGGATAAACTTTATAATAATTTTTTTTTATATAAAACTTGAACGTAATTCTTTTTAAATTTTTATTATTTATGATTTAATTTATTTATTTTTGCAATTTGGTTTTGGGGCATGATGAGGCGGTGGTATCAATGCTGTATAATGAACTGATAACTACCCTCTCTCCTACGGAATGATGAACTAATACCTACCCTCTTTACTTTTTTAGTTAGAAAAATATAAAAAATATAAAATATTTTTAATTAAATTTTATTCTTAATAAAATAATTATTTATTTTTAAACTAATTTTATCTTTTTATATTTATTTTTATTAAACATTTTAAATTAATAAAATAATTTATTTAATATGAAAAATTTTAAAAAAATAATTATACCTTAAAAATTTAAAATATTTATATTTTTAATATTTAATTACTTAAAAAATATTTTATATTTTTAGAAGAAGGGATTTTTTTTTAGAGTCTAGAATATAAAAGAGAAGAAAATTTTTATAAAATCAGATAATAAACAAATCACAAGATAATAAATATGAAATCAACAAAAAACAATAATGACACGAAAGAAATGGATAAAATTAATTTAGCCTAAGATATGCTCCTAGATTCCATTAATTTCTTCCGTATAATACACTAAATGTTTGTAGTTTAATTATCACTTATATATCAACGGGAATTATGTCCAGCCAAAAAAGTTAGTTCTTTACAATATAATAAATAAAATTTGAATTTTTATTGAAAAAAATACCTACACTTAATATTCAATAGTATTTCAAATATGATCAATCGCCTTTAATGGATGAATACTTGAAGGCAATTGGAAAAAATTATCAATGATAAATAATGTGCATTTTTATAAGTTTATATTTAATGTTGATTTCATTGTGCTTCCCCGCCTGGTTTTTGTTTTCTAAGTACAGGACTCTTTTAACCAAATCACACAAAGTAAAAAAAAAATGCTAACAATATTAATGATTTTTAGAAAAAATTATAAGTTTTCGTGCATGAATTTTTTTACTTATTGATTTATTTTTTAAAATTTTATTCAAAATAATTTAATTTTTATAATTCCTTAATTTAATAAACTATAAAGATTGAATTGTATTGAATCAAAGTTTAAATAATTAAAAAAATTAGAGACTAAAAGCTATAGCATTCCTTCTTTTTAATTACAAGTGGTTTCATGAAGGAAATAAATCAAAATAATATTTACCACATGATAAATTATTTATTATAACTGCATATGAATATATCAAACTCTCCATCTTTTTGTTATGACCAATGGGAACTTTTTTAATTAAAAAAAATTAAGGAATATTTTTTCCTGCGTGGAGCATTCAACATTGCAAGCTGGCTCAGCTGCCCTACATCAAACTGAGGGGATTTAATTTAGGCCCAAAAAAAAAAGAGGGGATTTCATGACACCCCAACTTAAAAAAAAAAAAGATAAAGAGTATTTCTTTTTACATGGAGAATCTAGTATCTTCCATATGACTTATCAAGATATTTTTTTTTTTTTAGCCTAAGACTAATCAAGATCGAGTTGAGATATCTGCATCTAATATTATTGCTTTCGTTCCAGTCAGAGGGTAGGAAACCTCATATAAAAACTAATACAATTTTTTCTTATCCGTTAAACCAAGGGTCAGGTCATAAATTAAGGACTATGTTTTGTTTCTGCAAAAGGGGCAAAACTCGGAATAAATAAATGGAGAGGGGCATTTTTTTTTTTTTTTTTGGGTTACCCCGTTATTTATTGGAAGGGTATCAAGGATTGCACGAAGCAGGAAGAACTGGACTTTGTGTGCTTGACTAATCAGTACTCGTACAATATCCCTTCACCGGAACAAGGAAGTAATCTGTACTCACTCGGTAGTCTCACTCTGTCTCTCTGCAGAACAGAGAAATGGCTTCTCCTCCAGTGGCGAAGTTCCCGATCTTTCTGACAGTGCGAATGATTAGCGTCTTCATCACGACTCTTCTTCTCACCTGGGTTCTGCATTTCAGAGGAGGCCTTGCCTTCGTTTCCCACAATAAAGATCTCATTTTCAATGTATCTCCCCCCCATTCTCTCGTCTTGAAAATTAATTAATGTTATTGTGGTCTCGATAGAACGCAAATCGTTGTTGAGGAGAATTGAGCTGACTCCGTGGGATTAAAATTTGATTTTGGAGGGAACCGAATTAGTTATGGAAGAATAAAGAATAAAAAATTGAGAATCTTGGAGTGAATAATTGAATAATGACTACTTGTATTGGGACTGCGGTGATTGGGGTTTCCAATTTGCCTTGCAGAGACTGCATTGGATTCTGGGTGTGAGACCATCATTTTGGGTTCTTTCATCCTACCGTAGTGGCATTTCTTACAGTTTCTTTTGCTGTCTCCAGGCTTCTTTCTTGTTCTTATCTCTTGCTTATAACAGTTTAAGTTCAAGAAGTCAGTCATCTTAACATAGAATGGTGTTTAAGACTGAGAGTACGTCTTTATTGCTCTTATCAGAATATCACAATGGAATGGCAAAGCGAGTCCAGAATGAATACTGCGTCCTAGCTTGTGAAGTATTTTTTTCTTAGTATTCCTTTTCTTTGATTGCACAGTTAAATGGAAATGACATTTGAGTCAATTTGTTTGTTTGTTGACCATTTTGTTAATGGCTGAGGAAAATATCATCTGGGTAAATTTGATTCCACTAAATCATTTCATTGAAAGCTTTGTAGGCGATTTATCTTTTTCTGTAATTTCATAGCTATATCATGATTCATGTTGGCATTTGATAAACCATTCAATTTATACCCTCCTTTTCCCCTTATGACCAAAGTTTGATGATTCTTTTGTTATTATGTACGCTACAGGTCCATCCAGTGCTGATGGTGATTGGAGTTATCCTAGTCAATGGTGAAGGTAAAGGCTCTTCCTTTTTAACTTTTGATAAGATTGGAGATATATATCATAATCAGCACAATAACGTCTTTTTTACTTTTTAATATCATGCTGTGAAGAATTTTAAATCCATTAATCAGCTATGAACTTATTGTGTTTGTTGCAATGAATGAATTATTTGTATGGTATTACATGAATAATTTAAAAAAAAAAAAGAAGTGAGAAATTGGCTGCATAGATTGACTGGAGTAACTTAAAATTGTGGCTGTTCTTACTTCAAGTAATGCATGAAATCGTATGAAAAATTGTATTAGCCTTTTTGCTTAGTGTTCAGATTTGTTAGGGCAAAATGCAGTGTTACTAGTCTATTCATAGTGCCCTTCCTTCTCAAAGAGAAACCCTTTTCAGTTCTTTGGGCTTATTGACCTTCCTTCCTCATCTAATAGACAAGTTTATAGGAAGCAGTAGGTCCTGGAAAAGGATTGGCGATTTAATGATCTGTTATACATTTTTTATTTTAGTTCTTTATGGATTTTCAATTTCTTTGTTGATTTACCTAAATTGTTCTTATGCTTATTCTCCTATATATATAGCATGTTTAGTATATGACTAATATGACCTGTAAATGATCCTTCCATCTTATTTATGCGTAACTCATATTGCATGGCCATTGCTTCTATGCCTGATTGCCTGTATCAGGCCAGGATGCTTCCATTTTTTCATCTTTTTGACATGCATGCACAAATCTATTGGCCCCCACTTGATAACATCTTTATAGCTAATTCTGTATTTTGCCTTAAATTAAGGAGCGAAAGGTAATCAATTTTCATTAGATATGTTAAAAATAGATGAAGATTTCACTCAAACCACTCTTTCTGGCTTGACAAAGTATTTTGGCGTTAAGATTATGTTGTGATTTTCCAAGCATACTATGTTGTAAGACTGGTATATATAGTTATAGAAATTATAAAATGGTTTCTGAAGAGGATAGAGTTTTGTTGATTGAATGCTGGTTGTCTTTGTTTGTCCCCACCCCCAGAAGTTGGGTAGAGAATTCGCTATACCTATTAACTTTAGATCATGACCATGCAACATTTAAAATTACATAGCTTAATGTCACGTGTCTTCTGAATTAGCTCTTACAATCTACTTGGAATGCTGAGTGGAGTATGGCAAAATTATGCCATGAAAGCCCTATTTTATATCCTTTTAACATATTTCCCTAACATTACCTCATTGAGAAATGAGCATATGAATATTGGATATGTTTCCTGTCATCTGTCCATTGTACTTTTGGCATCTAAAGGCTGGTGGCACTGGGGATAGTTTTGTTTTCCCTAAACCAGAGAAGAAGCCTTTTTTCCGACTTGAGAAAAGCCAGAGGCAGGAAGATGGCATGGTTTTATTTCTGTTCTGGTTAGATAATGTAATACAAGATTGGTGGGCTAGCTAATACCTTTAAAATTCTTTTAACTGCTTTGTTCAAAGCATATCTTACCAACTCAAGTTAACTCTGTCTTCTTTCTGTAGTTTCAAAACAGTGATTTCCTTACCAATTCATCCTTTGGTAATTTCTGAGCTACCCTTCCTGTCAAGTTTGTACTTAACGAATAACTTAATGTTTTTTATGGCTTTGTGAAGCAATGCTTGCATATAAGTCGTTACCAGGAACAAAAGACTTCAAAAAGGCGGTTCATCTCACATTACAATTAGTTTCTTTCATATTAAGTTGGATTGGTGTATGGGCTGCTTGGAAGTATCACAACGACATGGGCATTGAGAATTTCTACAGCCTGCATTCATGGATGGGTCTAGCATGTCTTTTCTTATTCTTCATCCAGGTATCTTGCTTTTTCTTTTTTCTTTTTGGCTTTTCCCTTTCTGGTGGGCGTACAACGGGGCCTAAGCCCAAAAGTCTAGGTATCTTTTTTCATTCCTACATGCCCTTGAATAACGAGCTATACTTTTACACCTGAACTTGGATTTCATTATTGCATCTATTAGAGATTCTATTGAAACTATTCATGGACTTTCACTTGATAGGATAAATCTCTGAATTGATTAGTCTTCAGCATAATATGATGTTTTTTAGAGATTTTATTGAAACTATTTATGAACTTGGATGAAAATTGGTGTTTGGCAAGTGAACTGTTTCCATGCTTTGAAAAGGATTTTCATGTGAAAAGGCATAAGAAATTTAGAAATTACAGCTCAAGGATGAAACTTACATAACCATTCTTCACACAAACAACTTTTTTTTTTAAATAATTAACCATGCAGGGCTAAAAATATCTTTATGTGATGTTTCTATAGAAGAACGTAATAGCAAACGTGAAAAAGTACACCTTAGCTTGATCCAACTCAATGATAAAACTATTCTTGGACAGTGTCTCACTTACTTCTGCAATGATTGTTAAGGGGGTTGCTGGATTCACAACCTTCTGGTTCCCAGGAGGGTCAACAAATAGCAGACTCTTTCTCTTGCCATGGCATGTTTTCTTTGGGATCTTTATATATGGCATGGCTTTAGCTACAGCCGCTGCAGGTATCTTAGAAAAGTCTACATTCCTTCAAGCCCGCAAGGTAATCTCACGCTACTCCAGTGAGGCAATATTGCTCAATTTCATGGGCTTGATGATCATCATGTTAGGTGCCTTTGTGATTCTTGGGGTCCTTACACCATCTAATGCTAAAGCCGATATTGTCGTTAGAAGCAGTGGGTAAATTTCGTACTATGGGTCTTTCAAAATTGAGGAAGAGGAAGTATAATGTGCAGTTTGTTTGTTTGTTTTGAAAAAAACATGAAACCATATATTAAACACAGAAAGATTTATGTGCAGTTTCTAATACTGCTGAGATGGATGTACTAAATCTCAGATTGATATAGCCAGTTTCTTTCTTTTCTTGTTGCTTAGGTTCTTTTCCCTTGTTCAAATTCTTCTTTCTCGCTTGATATCAGAAGAATAAATTGTTATTCTCTCTTCTGACGAGTTTTCAAATTATGTGGCATGTATTTTAGTTTTGAAAGTTTAATAAATGATAGAGCACAATGGCGTCTTGCAATCCATGTAGCCGACCCCACCTAGTGGGATAAAGGCTTGTTGTTGTTGTTGTTGTTGTTGTTGTATTTTAGTTTTGAAGTATGTATTGTATTCCGTTGAAACTGCACTATATTAATCTCCAATAAATTAAAAATTATAATTATATACTTTGATCAATACATTCTTTTATATCTATTATTGATAATTACAAAGGTATTTAATGTGTTAATTAATTTTCCAAATGTAATTGACTACTCTAGACAAATTAGTGATAATGAAAAGTTCAAATATAATTCTTTTTAACTTCACAATTTTAAAATTTATACGGATATTACAACATTATTTTTTAAATAAAACAAGAAGTAAACTTGCAGAGCCACATCATTAGCAAAGAAATCAGCAGATCATTAGCACGACGATCAACTTGTACAGCCTCCACACTCCAACTATCCTGATCAGCATGGAAATCAGAAACATCAGTCTGCATGAGTTTCAAAGCAAAGAACTACTCCACAGACATTTTAGAATGTTATTAAATAATTTAAATGATAATATATAAGATTAGTACATATACCCCATCACACATGACACGTGGCTCCATGATAAAATATTCGACCATTCTAGAAAAAAAACATAGAAGTGTGTGTGCAATTTACTTCATCTTAGACATTTGTCGGGCTGCCTAGATGCTCATTAACTTGTATAGATGTAGTGTGATATAAATTATCTTCACAAACATAGATTCATCTCCGCGCGCGAAATCATCCCAACAACTTGAGTTGAATGAGAAATTTCTTGTTGATTGTAGTGCTAAGTTGAGGGTTGAACACATATCGACTGTACCTTTCTCCATTATTCGACTGTGCCTAGCCTCTAAGAAATTAATAGTCACTGAATATCATCTTCCAGTCATCTTTTCATGCATCTTAACAGCTTGGGACAATCTTGTCCCAGTTGCATTATCTTCCGCAAATGAAAAAGAATCTTTACGATAACATGTTTTCTGAGAGATCAAAGAATGGCTTCCATAATCTGCAGAGCCACTACACACATTGACTTGCGTGCGTCCTAGGTCCTCCCAGCTAAATATAAGACCCTCGAAGAATTCCTAAAAGTTAATCCTGAATGCTAGGCATGTACCCAAGCTTTATACTAAATTTGCAGTTGCCATTTTCTTCGAGTGTAGTCTTTTGCCACTTTGGTTACCCTAACTCTAAGCATTCGTGTAAGCCCACTGCACACATGCAATTGCCCAGCCCACCAACTCATATCAATTGGATTAATAGATCATCCAATTGGGTATGACAATAGAACATTGGTAATAAGGAGATTCATGTAAAAATACCATACCATCCAAGTTACCTTATTTCCAACATGGGGAATAAGAAGATTAAGGAAGCTGTGAATATTGGCAAAACTACAATCATGGTTCCTCTTGATAAGGGAAAATTATAGCGAGACACAAAAAGCACTGCAACTAACCCTGTTCGCAACTTCCACTGCTGAATTACGCTTTTAGCCTGAACACTAAATTGAGTAAATTCTGGTGTGCCACTAACAGCTTCAAACATAAAGGCATTGCATGCTTGAAAAGTAGACGCCGGAAGGGGTCAGAAGAAGAGCCGCAGCATTCAATGCTCAAATGTTTATAAAGTATAAAATACACCACAAACCACAAAAGAATCTATCCGCCTTGATTACAAACGTCTGTGTTTCCATTGACCATGCATTCAAACCATCCTTAACATTGGTAAATAGAAACCATAATGAAACATGCTGCTCGCTCTTTCCCTTTCTTAGTAATGAATAGTCAGATGCACTCGTTATATGAAACTTGGGCAGACTGGCCCCTTAGAAAGGCCAAGGCGAACTTCCATTCCATGGTGCATGTCTGGTGGCCGGATAGATTCAGATTCCCGGGGATCTGCAGGCAACAAAAATGAAATTGAGTGAGGTGTACAGGAAGTGCGGGAATTAGAATTGAAAACAAGTCATTGCTATGATATTGTGATAGTCATTTAGATCCAAGAGGAAGACTGAAAAAAAGGGCGGGGACCAATGAAATATTGTCTATCAATCAAGATGCTACGGTAACATTTTTCAATATTCAATCTTTCCCACTTTTATTCAACAAAAATGTTAAAATGTAGATAATCCTTTATTCAGTGTCCAGAAACTTGGAAATTCATTAGGTAAATAAACCATGCCAACAAAATAAAAAGATATAGGCTGTTTATATTATTACCATTAAGATAATCCTCAAAACCAATGTGATCAAGACTTCCCGTATAAGCCTCCAAACCCAGCATTGAAGATGGAATGGCTCCTGGAGGTCTCTGGAACCTACAAGGAACAGTAGCAATAAACATATATATATTTAAAAAAAAGAGAAGCAGACCAGAGCAATTAATACAATGGAGTCCATAGGAGCAACAGGTGTAAGGATGGCAAATCACAGCAAACAGGCAAGACCAATACAGCAAAAATCGCACAAGAGAATTAATTCCAACCCACTTAACCCTTTTTTATGGAGCAACAATTTGGACTTTTATGTAATTATCAATTACTGCTTACTAATACCCCAGTAGGTTGCTTGTTTTATAGGGTTTAGCGTCTTAGGTATGATAATTTTACTAGGATAAAGCCACATGACCCTTACTACGAGAAGAAAAAAGGTGAAATATGCAAAGCTTTCCACCTCAGACAACATGGTAACATTATTGGCCACTGCCCCACCCATGGCAGAAGTCATGGTACTGCCAGACTAAGGACGCCAGACCAAGGAGGTTTCAAGGCAGGGTTATCCCTGCTGCCATGCCATCGCACATCTCACTAGCCAAGTATTAGATCAAGTGCGGGCCTGAAGGACTTAGTGCACAGACTGATATCAGGTCATGTGGGTCCACCACTTCTTGTAATGGTAAATTGACATACTGTAGGAATCCGCAATAGCTATGAAAACAAGTTTTTCAGAATTCTCTATTGATTCTTTAAAGCCATACATTTGTGTAACAATGAGGAAAATTGGGAGAGGTACCGTATGGCTAAGAAGGAAACTAAGAGAGCTGTGGGTGAAGCTCGTTCTAAAGCTTTTGAAGAATTTTATAAGAACCTTGAGACGAAGGAAGGAGAGCAAAATATTTATAAGATTGCCAAGAGTAGGGAAAGAAAATCAAGAGATCTAGAACAGGTAAGGTGTATTAAGGATGAAGAGGGAAGAATTTTAGTTACAGATGATGAAATTAAAAATAGATGGGAGACTTATTTTTCTAAACTTTTCAATGATGGAGAGGATTCATCTAGTAACTTGGAGGATTTAGTAATTGGTGAAGGAGAACAAAATTTGTCATTCTATCGAAACATACGTGATAAGGAGGTAAAGGAAGCTCTTAAGAAAATGGCAAATGGTAGAGCTAACGGACCTGATTGTATATCTATCGAAGCGTGGAAATGTTTAGGTGAAGAAGGGGTGAGATGGTTAACTAAGTTATTTAATGTGATTTTACGGTCCAAGAAAATGCCTGATGAGTGGAGGAGAAGTACATTAATTCCTATTTATAAAAATAAAGGAGATATTCAGAATTGTACTAACTATAGAGGGATTAAACTCATGAGCCACACAATGAAATTGTGGGAGAAAGTAATTGAGCATAGGTTGAGATTGGAGACAAGTATTTCTGAGAATCAATTTGGTTTTATGCCAGGTAGATCAACTACAGAGGCGATTTATCTACTAAGGGGATTAATGGAAAAGTATCGTTGTAAAGATAAAGATCTACACATGGTTTTTATTGATTTGGAAAAAGCTTATGACCGTATACCAAGAGAAGTGCTTTGGAAAGCGTTGGAAAAAAAGGGAGTACGGATTGCTTATATTAAAGCCATACAAGATATGTATGAGGGGGTAAAAACTAGTATAAGAACGCCTAGTGGTCAAACAAAGGATTTTCCTATAAAGATTGGGCTACATCAGGGATCATCTCTGAGTCCTTATTTGTTCAACTTGATTTTAAATGTTTTGACGGAACATATTCAAGAGGAAATCCCGAAATGTATGCTCTTCGCGGATGATATAGTTCTTATAGCAGAGACAAGAGAAGAGGTTAATTGCAAACTTGAGTTATGGAGGAGGACATTGGAGTCGAAAGGTTTTCGTCTGAGTAGAAGTAAGACGGAATATTTATATTGTAAATTTGATAAAGGACTATTCGAAAATAATTTGGAAGTAAAATTGGGAGATCAAATTATACCTCAAGTGGAAAAGTTTAGATATTTGGGAGCCATTATCCAAAATGATGGCGAAATCAGTGGAGATATTTCACATAGAATTCAAGCTGGGTGGTTTAATTGGAGAAAAGCTAAAGGAGTTATTTGTGACCGTAAGGTGCCTAATAAACTTAAAGGAAAGTTTTATCGTACTGCTATCAGACCGGCAATGTTATATAGTAGTGAATGCTGGGCTCTAACGGGACAGCAAGAGCATAAAGTTAGAGTAGCAGAGATGAGAATGTTACGATGGATGTGCGGACATACACGTAAAGATAAAATTCGAAATGAGCACATACGTGAAAAAGTGAGGGTGGCACCTATTGAGGAAAAAATGGTAGAAAATCGGTTGAGATGGTTTGGGCATGTACAAAGAAGACCAAGGGAGGCACCAGTGAGAAGAGTGGAACATATAACTTTGAGTCCGATTAAGAGAGGTAGAGGAAGGCCTAAGAGAACACTCTTGGAAGTTGTTGAACGTGATCTCTTAATTAATAATATTTCTAAAAGCTTAATAAATGATAGAGCACAATGGCGTCTTGCAATCCATGTAGCCGACCCCACCTAGTGGGATAAAGGCTTGTTGTTGTTGTTGTTGTTGTTGTACTATTGATTCTCTAATCATGCTGAAAGAATAGTCATGTTCTCTAATTCTGAAGGCTTCCGGAATTAGGACACATGCTTTTGCATCCAATTTCCGTATATTTTTTTAAGAATGGAAGAGATACAATTTGGCATCATTCCTTCTTTTAATATTAATTTGTTGCAGAGAATGAAACTAAAAAAATTGTTTACACTATAAATCACATATAAATTATAAAGCAAACATATTTTAGTGAATAATTTAGGGTTAGAGTTAGACATAACAAACCAAAGACAGGCAACAGATATATATTGTACATTCCACATTAGAAGAGAACTCAATTCAAATAGCTGTCCAAACAAAGATCACATAAGCATACGGACGCATTACAGTTTATTTTCAAGGAAAGTGACGGCAATATTAGAAAACTAAAGATTAGAGATCTGCTATGGAAAATATAGAATAACTATCCCGAGATACAATTTGACATTTCAAATATGTTTACATCAGTATATCATTAGCAGAGACGATGCATTCAGCAAGAGTGAAAAAGCCTAGATAAGAATGCCCATTTTACAATGTGGATACAATAAAGTTACCATACTTGACTTGAAATCCCATTTAACTCACCATCATTTATTAATGTGAGAACAAGATGAGAAGAGGTATATATAATTATGCCTGCAGATACAATTAGGCTCTCTCATTCCTTTGCATATGTTAAGGGTGAGCTTTGAGAAAAACAAGCTTTACTCACGCCCACATGCACCAAATAACAGAACATCATTAACCCACAGGCCACAGAATCATAATGTTTGATATTCTCCACATGTTAATCGTTGCTTTTATAAGCACGTCAAGATGTTATGACATACATTTTTGTATCACGTCGTTTTGTCCCATACCATGTTACGTATTGCCTCAACTTGTTGTTTGCCTCACAGAACAGCAGGAACTTGCAAGGCCACAAAGTTGAGGCATTTTATGTGAAACTTCCTATGTTCACCAAAAAAAAATTGACAGTTTACTTTTCCATTTCGGACAAAACTAATCAGGTTCACCAACACCAACGAAACAAAAAGAGTGGGGATTGGAAGGAGCTACAATTTCAAATGAAGTAACTTAATCAGGTTCGCAAACACTGCTAAAACAAAACTAGAGGGGGGATGGAGAGGGGCTACGCTGACAAACTAGATAACGTATCCTTACCGTTGCCAACTATCAGTTTCAAAAAATTCAGAAGAAACCAATCGCTTCCAGATGCACGCTACAACAAATTCTAAAAAGCAGAATAGCATACCTAGAAAGTATTTGCCTGTCCAGGTCCATCTTCAGTGGAAAGGCGGACCCATATGTATTGATAATGCATTTCCTCTTCATCGTTTCCTGTGTTCGCCTTACCTGAAAATAATAGAGTGGAGAAACTTCATTACAGAGTAAGCCATGATCAACACCAAGACTTCTACAGTTTCCATCAGAAAAACAGCCCAACACAATTGACAACACTACACTTTACAGTCTCTTTCAACCACAATGGTTAACATCAGCAATAAATTCCTATCTTTTCAATGGTTAACATTAATAATGATAATAGTAACTTGCAAAGACCAAAGCCTATTTCCGGAGAAAAACCCAAAAGGGGGAAAGAAAATCAACAAAATTCACTTTATATCCCACCAGAGAAAGCCCTAATAAAAGGGGAAAATCGCCCAATGATCAAATAAAAATCCAGCCGTTACCCACGCCAAATAGCTGAAAACCCCAGAGAGATTAAAAATTGTAACTCCAAACACAGCGCCCATGCAAAGAAAACCAGAGTAAGAGAAGAGAAAGTCATTACAGATTCCTGAGCGGATTCGAGTGGATGAGATCCAACGATGTCACTCTTGACGCCCTGAAGCCCGAAACGGAGCGCATCGTTTTGGACCCCTCCGATTTGGTGTGCAATGGTCTTCGGCACTTCCTCCATGCTTCCGTCTTCTACCACAGCAAGTAGTCGGCTCAGCACAAACTTCCGTATCAAGCAAAGAAATAGCGAGCGAGAACTTCCATTAAGGAATTTATCGCCGGAGAGAAGAAGCCAACGACGTCGTCTTTTGTTCTTGCTGTTCAATTCAACCTCGGCCCTGAGGTACCATTGTGGGGCTAAACCCAGCCCAATGGAAATATGACCCCAGCGCTAAGACTGTTTGTGAAATGCCCAAACCGGAGACCCAAAATAAGCCCAATTGTGAAGTAAAGTGTGTGTCTTTGCACTGTTAAATATAGTCATTGGGTCATTATTATGAGAATGTTATATAGGGGTAGCTTAGGTAGGGGTTCATTATTGTTGTGATAATATTATATTTTATTGGTACGCGCGAAGTTAGACAGTAAAGACAATAGAATAAAGAAAGGGTTACGTTGGTCAAAGTGGCTACGTTGGAAGGAAGGCAGAGGCTATTATGTCATAGAAGTGATCATTTACGGTGACGTAGTCGAAATTTGCGGAAAACCCTCAAGGCATGTATCAAAGCTATATACAGAATCTTCAGGCTAAAAAAAAAAAAAAAACAGCATTACATAGAATGTTAGAATCAATATATTAGCGTCTAATGCTAATAGTAGAGAATGAATGCAACCACAGTGTTAAACATGAACGAAGTTGTACACACACACACTCTCTCTTATGCACACGGACGTACGAAATCTCAAAACCATGGGAATTACATTTCTGATCATTCCTCCGAATATTTCTCTCTTCCTCGAGGATCTTGGCATATTCTCACCGAAAAGGGGAAAGCTCTATGGGAGCTCAATACTCAACATGAACTTTTTTCCCCATTGTCCACATAAGGCCTTTTATTGAAGGAAATTAATTTTGTTTGAAGCATGGTCAAGTGCAAGCACCAATGGCCAATTGAGTTGGGTGCAATATAATTTAATTTAAAAATTAATATTTTTTAAAATAATAATTTAATGACATATTAAATTGACCATTTTTTAAAAAAATTATATTAACAAGTTGATATGATCTTATATATATGTGTGTATGTGTGTGTGTTAAATATGCTCTTTATATCTTATCTCAATAATTATAGAGAGAATGATAGTTAAGTTCCAAAATATTAAATTAATGACAATTAAATCCTTGATAAATTTTTTTAAAATATGAGTTATAAATATGGACTTGCATAGTTACAACCAAAAATTTCTATTATAATCTAAAAGTTATGTTTAATATTTAAATACTTATTTATAATTAAAACTTTTGAATCTACAATTATCTGGATCAATATTTTCAATTCATTTTTTTAAAAAAATTGAAACTTAATTGTCATTAATTTAATATTTTAAGACCTAATTATCATTATCCCTTAATTATAAGCTTTTGAGCCAAATACTTTTTTATTTAATCCTTGAAATGCAGAATAATAAGAATAGATAGTGTAAAGTTATAAAGTTTACATATTCCACTCATAATCAAGTATTAAATTTGTATATCTCTTTCAATAAAAATTTAAATCATAATTACAATTAGTCTATTCTTCCACAACAAATCCCGGTGGGTATATTCAGCATGAACTTTAATCAAAAGGAAAGAGAAGGACAATGAGAGAGAGAGAGGGAGGGAGTGATTGGGGAAAGACATATGGTGTGTTGGTCAGGAAAGGAGGAAGAGGAGACAAAAGAGAATAGGGTGAAGAAGAAGAAGAGAGGCTTTCTTTTTAGCAAGTGAAGGTACAGTTTTGGAATTCTCTGGAGCCGAGAGAGAGAGAGAGAGGGGGGGGGGATTCATTAATTGAACAAGATATGAGCCGATTACAATATTGGATTTGCCGTATTTATTCTCATCAGCCTTTGCAGCGCCATTTGTGTTCTTATTATTTTTATACACTTGCTTCTGCTTTGAGAAAGAGACTTACCACCTACTCTCTCTCTCTCTCTCTCTCTCTCTCTCTGTGTGCTTGTTATAATATTCCTTCATGCCATGCCATGCAGTATACATACATATTTGACATCAGATCTATTTCTCATGATACACCTATATATTCGTTGATAATTAAATACTTGTGTAGTTCCGCGAGATTTATTGCCTAACATGATGCAGATAGAGAACAATTGACGTGAGTTCCTATTTCTTCCCACAACAATTAGTATTATACATTATGTGAATAGAGAGATTAGTAGGATGAATTTCTCTTTGCAAAATTTGAAACGAGGACACTGAACTCCTAATTAACTTCATTTGTTATCTGAATATTTTGATTAAATGTGGTAACCATAATATTTTAAATGAATTGCCTAAATGTCAGTTTAGGCCTTTAGGGTATTGCATCAAAGTTTAAGATATAATAAACAATACTATTTATTACTTGTAAATAATATGTATTATCGGTATTGTTTAAAAATTTTATTTTTCTATTTTTAAGGTATATAAATAATTCCATCCTTTGTCTTTTTTTGATTGTTTCTATTAGATATATTTACATGTTTTATGTAATGATTAGCGCCAATTTTTTTTTTTGTTTGGTTTCAAAAGCACTCTCAAAAGATCAATGAGTAGAAAATTGCAAAGTAACGTAGCATATGATCTTTTAAAACGATGCAATTTCACCTTTTTTCTAAAAATCAAATTTAGGTCAAAGTAAAACTATTAGCACTAACCCACACTACTAGATCGTTGCTCAACATCCACCAGTTTTAAAAGATTGTGTTATATCGCTTCATAATTTTATTTGAGGCGTTCATATATAACTCTTTCAAGAATATTTCCAAGACAAAATGAATTTCAGCCCTAAAGATTATTATAATTATAAATAAAATTTATATGAATTAAAAAATTAGAGTATAGATTTGAACAGTGTAAACAAAAATTGGAAAAGGAATTTATCCTAAATATTATTGCCCAACCTCGCATAGACCCCCCTTTTAAAAATCGTGCTGCTTTCTCTCTCTTTTCTCAACATCTCCAATCTCCATTTGTGATGATTGAAATTGTCAATATTGAGAAATATTTTTACCAAGTAGAACAAGTACATTATTAGTCGACATTCACTACACTTTCTGATCAAGAATTCACTAGAAGGTTGTGATCCTTTAAAATTTTAAAGAAATTTACACGCTAATCTAAATTTGGAAATATTTTCTCTAACCTAAATCATGTAAATTAAACCATCTGCTGAAAGCTGATAGCATTTCCATTTCCATATATATTAAACTGCAAAACCCTCATTCCAAGTCAAGAAGAACCTTCACAGGCCAAAATAAATCATGAAGAACCTTACGCAGTCACTTTTTTCCATAGCTTCAGAACCCTATAGAACTAGTGTGAAGCTATCTTCTTCACTTTTCTGAAGCGACGAACCACAACATGTAGTCATCGAATACTTTTAAATACCAAATGCCTCATCTCAACTTGTGCTATCTATCTGTTACTATTACTCTCTCTCTCTGTCTCTCTCTCAAGCTTCTTCTACAGTTCCTTTCAATTAGTTTCTGAGGTATATTACTATGTGCATTTCCAGCTATTCCTCACCTGTCTGCTCATAAACCCATAAGTTCACTGCTCTTCTTTGAAAGAGCAACGCCTTCTTTCATGTAAACTCTCTCTCTCTCTCTCTCTCTCTCTCTCTCTCTCTCTCTCTCTCTCTCTCTAACAAGCGCTCTTTCATCTTTCCTATTTCTGTGTGCTCGAGAGTTTGTTAACTTTCAGAAGATTTCTGATTTTTCAGGTGAAATCTTAATCTCTACGAGAATGAAGACTCTAATCAAGTTGACTTCACTTTTTGGTGAAGTTAGTGATACTTGATCGCCACCATCCACATCACCATTTTCACCTCCTGGTATGTGTTTTTACGGATGCTTTCTTCTGCATCTGTCTTCTTCAGATTTCTTTGTTTCAGTCTATATATCTTACTCTGTTTGGTGCACATTGATTATAGTATTCCATAATATATTCCTTATTCGCATAAATGAAACAAATTCTAGCTAGTACTACATAATAATGTCTCTTTAATTTAGTATCATGCATCTCGATAATACATGATCATTATATTGTCCATAATATTATGATAAGATGATCTGTCAGACTCATTGGCTTCTAATTAAGAAGCAAAAAGAATTCGTTCAAAAAAAAAAAGAAGCAAAAAGAAAGAGAAAGCCATTAGGAATTTAGAATTTAGATCTAAAATATAAGAAAGGTTGGGGTGGGAGATGTTTTCCTCTAGGCATTTTTCTCTCCATTATCTGTCAATTTCAGCTTGTTTTTTAGTTCCATGTCAAGTCTTAATCGTTAAAGACTTTATATTTCAGTGCTTGGTGCACAAGCATGATGATACTGTGCGCGATATCATTTTTCCTGTTTCAATAAAGGAAACAATTTCTAAGAAAATTGTCATGTTGTATTTAATGCTCGAATCATTATCTCAAGTATCATGATATCCGAGTGTCTCTGGGAATTCCCAAGAGCCAAAAAAGACAAAAAGAAAAATATCAAGAGCTCTTCAGGATTAAGATCATGAATTTTGAAGCTCCACTAGTTCAAACAAAAATCAGGAATAAAAAAATCAATTAATTATTTAACATTGTACTTTGAACAAGCTCAAGCAACAATGTGAGAAAGTTCACATAAAGCATAGTAGCTAGAATACAGTGCTATATAGTTAAGTAGCTTATTATATTATTTTTTTTTATCTGCTTGTAGTATTATTTGAAGAATATATGAATTTTGTTTTACGTAGATATACAGTAGCGGCCATAGTCAAGCTGCAGATTTTCTGGTTTATTACTTTTCAGGGAAAAGAAACTGACTTTTTGATGATACAATGAATGAAGGAGCAGACAATATGGAAGCGAACCATGTAAAAAGGTCTCTGCTACATATCTGGGCATAAGCGGCAATGATTACCTTTTATATGTCTTTATTTTCTTTGCATTTTTATATATAGCTTGTGTTGGAAGAAGAATCTTGTTCACTGTTTGATCATTTTCAGAATTTTTTTTATTTAGGGTTTTAGAGAGGGCATTATTATCTAATGGCCGTACAGATGGGTACCATACAGCAGTGAGCTGCATGTTCAAATTTAACGGGACTACATTATCTGCTACAAGCCAAGGTAAGGCCAGTCTTGAAATTTTGTTCTCTACAATGTTGTGATGGCCGTATATACCTTAATTTCATCTTTTTAATTTGTCTATTATAAAAAAACTACACTATGGTTTGATATTTTGCATAGTATTTGAGATTATAAGTTATACTATTCATTCATAACTTGTAAGCTGTGAGTTTTCTATATATTATTTTAATATATTGAATATGCACACACACATATACTCTATTTCTCATATTTGCATGAAACTAGACAATATGAATGCTATGCATCAATATATATATATATATATATACACGCACTCTGTTGATATCGATGATACATACATATATATACACACGTATTAGTTGTAGGTTATAAGATTTTTAGCTTTGTGGTACTTGATTTTTATTTATTGAGCATTTGGTTTGATGTATTACTTGGATCCAATTCTTTAAAAATTACCGTTAATTTCAAACTTTGAACATCACACACAAACATGCGTATCAATATGGAATAAATCATTGCAATGGTTGAAACTGAAGTTGCTTTTGCTAAAGGAAGCAGAGCTGAAAGGATTAAATGACATAATTACTGTGCGTATGTGTGTATGTCCCTCCATCTAGTAAAAACCTGAATCATTAAACATAAAAGAAACCAAGAAGACATGGCACAAACTTGGAAAATTGGAGGTCAGAGAGGGGGCCGGAAAAAAGTAGATTCAAGAATTCATATATTAAACTAAACTCTAGACTCGTATCTTACACAGAGTTCAGGATAAGTTATACTATTTCTAACTTTATGAATATTGTGGTTTTTATAAATTTTATATTAGACATAAATAAGGATTCAAATCTTACATCTGGCCTAGTGAGCATCAAAGATTTGAAGACCAATAGGATGAAGGAAAAGAAAATGATAATCATGCTAGTGGGATCAAGAAATTGCCATGGACCACCTGAGGCATCATGAGGAGCAATTGACAAAGACACTGCCAGCTTATAAACTCCACAAAACTCCCACTATATAAGAGTCTGATCTACCCTTAAAGTGTTGCAATGATTAAGATAGAGGTGGAATATATATCATCCTGCCTGTGGTTAAGTTCAATGTGACTTGTCATGACAAGAAACCGATAAGCTTGACATCTTTAATCTGGTCGATGGATTTATCACTTAGCATTTGCTTTTATTGAGGTTGACTGTCACTTTCTTCAGTGAATATCACTTTCTGAACCACAAAAAACCATATATTTCCAATTTCAACCAACGTATGTTTATATGATACAACATGCATTATATTGTAATCTATAAAACTGGACACTTCATTTCATCTATTAATTAGATGAAGTTAAATGAGTTTTAGGATTTAGATTTGACGTGACATATTGATGACCTTGTGTGTGTGTGTGTGTGTGTGTGTATTGGGGTCTTTGGAGCAACTTTGATGGGATTTTTTTGGGAAGAAAGTTAGGTAAATAAGAATATCCACCTAGGGGTGGGTTTGGTATAATATAATTATTAAAAAAGGGGTGTGGGTGAATGTGTATTAAGAAAGAGTTTTAAAATTTTCCTAAATCCATATACTTTGTCAATTTTGTTAAAGTCATCACTCACAAAATATCATCCCATATGATGAATAATGCTCAATATGTTCTAGTTAATTAGGGTTTGATTTCAAAATTAATAGATATATTTTCACATAAGTACAAAATGTTGGAGCTAATAAAAGCAAATCTATCCATAGTTCAAGCATTCATAGATGAATCGTAACTATTTCATTGAATAGAAGATTTTAATGTTCTAGTAGTTTGAGATATTGGTGAGACTTAACCCAGTCCCTCATTGGAAAAGGAATGAGCATGTCAAGAATATCAAGAGAAGTTATTTGCTGAAAATTATAGATAATGCTTTTCAGTGCATCTAGCAAAGCATTTATTTTGAAATAAACTGACTTATCTCAAATTTTAAATATAAATTTTAAAATCAAAATTTGAATTAAAATAATGATTTTCCAGTATTTATTTAAAGTCCTATGGGCTAAGTCCCAGGTTAAAATAAATTAGAGCCTTTTATAAGTCTTCCCTTTTCCTACAATAATTTTTCTAGAAAGATAGTTTGGAAGAGATTTTGTAGTGTGTCTTGTGTTTATATATATCAAGTACTATATATACATGTAAAAATATTTTCATTTATTTGAACATGCATGGACAGAAGGCTTCTTCTCATGTAGTACTCTTCACTTGCTCATGTTCTCTTTAACGTGGAATATAATTTAAATTTCACTGATATCATAAACTATTCTAACACATAAAATGCAGAAAAATCATGTATAAATGGAGAGAGATCGTCTTTGCATCCATGAAAGTTTAAATCATCTCAGTTAGAAACAAATGAAAAATTACAAATTCATAACATTTAACCCAAATGTTTTATGCATTCATTAATGAAGCTTGGTGCTTGCAGTCACAAAAACACACACACACAAACTGAGATGTGAGCGTGACTGAGAAAAAATGATACGTGGTGCGGGGTTAGGTAAGGGTTGTTGTTGGTGATGGCTTGAGGAGATGGGAATGAAGAACTCGAGCCTTTAAACGTACGACCACATAGGTTAAGAGGTTATATAGGAGCTAAGGTTGCAGGAAATCCTCGAGCTGTTAAGATTCTGGCACTTTCAGATTCAGATCAGACCCTAGCTATAATAATATTCAGACACTATGATGAATCTTCATAATTACTTTAATAATATAATCGCCAGCGATTCAGACGCTATAGCATGAATGAATCTTCATATCTTAAGTGAGTATATACGTTCACAATGGTGGTTTTGAATAGCTTAGATTTAGTGATCAAGTTAACTATATTTTCCAACGATTCAATGTAATTTGTTTAGAAAATAAGAAAAATAAAATGAAAACAATTTCAAGATGTTTTTATTTTTTAACAATTTAGAAAACAATTAAATCCAAAATACTTATCTAAATGAGTTTTTTTTAATTTTTTTCAAACCAAACAAAGCCTAAGTTCCTGAATAGTGATTTTATATGGAGGGTTTGTTTAATTTATAGCTTGATGATCCTCGTTAGGATGAATGTGGTTTTATAGGAAATCAAAATATTTCTAGTTAGATGCATGAAAGACGGGATACGCCAAAATAAAACCATGAAATTTTTATAGTTATTTTCTTTCCTTTAAACAAAGAGTACAAAACCTATAAATTTTATCAAAAACCTTAACTTGTGAAGGAACAATACCATATTTACATTGAGAATTCTAGACAAACGAGCATTCCACACACACACACACACACACACAAATCTAGTTAGGACCCTTGAATTAAGATGATAAAATCTGTAACATAAGACAGAAACTCATACTCTAGTCACGATAACAACAGGAGACGATCAGAGAGAACAAAAATATATAAAAGCAAGCAAAAATAGAAGAGACATGTACACCTACTTACCACCCTATTTACACGCAGACATATTGCTACTTTACTTAAATTTGGTTCAAAAAACTAATAAAAGCAAAAAAGGGTTGCCTTGTCTTTAGGATCAAGCTTCACATCTTAGGATTTGCTCTAGAAATGTCTAAATTTTCCTTTAACAAAAATGACATAATCTGCCAGCAAATTAAAATTATTTCCTCCTTGGTTTTGATGCTTTATTGATATTTTCTTAATTTCTTTCCATCTTCCATGTTAATTGAACAACTCCTTGAATTCTTTAGCCTTCCTTTCACTGAATTGCCAATAATTACTTCTACTACAGTATATTAAATTTAAATTGATTTAAAGCTAGGAGAAAATTGAATTCAGATTGATTGATCCACTATCATTTACAAGGCTCTCATTTTCCCAAACAATTTGTTTCTTAATAAACCTTACGGCGTATTCTAGGCATTTTAGTTGTATTTTCTAGTTTGTGGAGTGGGATATTTAATCTAGCAATGATCATTCGCATAATCTTAAAATGTTTCTATGCTTTAAAGGTATTAAACTCCTTGGGCTGTAGGAATGGATTTGACTTTCAACAGTGCTGAGCCAATTTTTAATATGCCCAACTGGATTTGTACGTTCACAAACATGCAGAGATAAGTTCAAACAGTTAAAAAGAATATTAATCTTAAGTTGATAAAATCATACAACAACAATGTCTGACCACATTTGTTCCAGGCTTATAACGTAAATATCAATATTGTACTTGTTTTATAATTAAAATTAGAAATGATGTTTGTTAAAGTAAAGTTTCATTTTCATGAGTTATAGAGTAACATAAATCAATTTATTTAATAGAAGGAAATTTCAATAATCTTAGACTTCGGTACAAATTGTTTGATTTCTCATTTATAGGATCCAAACCGACGTTAGAGTCAAAGCAACCATGGCCTATCTTGGCTGCTTGTTATGTTTCCTACCTAGCTGTGCTTGAAGCAAGGAAAACTAACCCCAAAACTCACGCTTAAGTCAAATCAAAAAGCAACTACTTCATATTGAGAAAATCTTGACAGATTTTGCAGACAGGTTTGAAAACGTATACATAGATCCTCATGACCTGGTCAATGGCTAGAATATCGATAATGGAGACATTTCTATAAACTTAATGTTGAGAAAATCTTTACTTTTAGCCTCTATAATTTTATTCAATTTTCGGTTTAGTGAATCATTATAGTTGAAATCCTTTTAAATCTATAAATAATTTTATATGATGTTTTGGACATGTAAGATTTATAATAACAAATGATAAAAGTATAAATAATGAAGTAAAGTTAACTCCCATATATATAGGTAACTATGACAAAGTATGCATTATGAACTAAACTAACTACACAAAAATTAAGCCTATATAAGGATTAAATTTACAATTAAATGAAAGTATAAATAGCAAAAGTACAACTTTTCTCAAAAATATATTATGTGCATTTTAATCTTTGGATGTGTTCATATCTGCGTATGATCTTAAAATTGTCTTCAGCTAGAAACGTTCCGCGGAATATTGAAAATTGGTTTTAAAGAAACAACAT